TATTTATATCATATTGTTGTTACAATTAAGTATTTATTTGAAATATTTATAATTAATATTAATTATTGAAATGCTTTACATTTTACGTTATCAATTGAAAAAGGTTATAAATATTAATTATCTTAATTATTGAAAGAAATTTTTTATATCCAGTTGTTATAAAAACTTTATTTATAATTGTGGTGGTTAATATTAATTGTTGTGAATTATTAATGTAAATACTAGAATTTTAGTTTATTTGTTTATTTTATTTCATAGAACTAAATTAATAAAATTATTAAAATGTCTTATGATTTAAAAAATTATCCGATTTGTGAGAAAATACCTGAAGATATAAAACAATGCATTCAATTGTTTTATGTTTTCGATGACTTCATCGGACATAACATACTGTTTGTGACATTTGATGATATGGTGTATGGATTGGGATCTAATTTCTTTGGTCAACTCGGGTTAGGACACAATAATAGTGTTGAAGAACCGATAGAAGTGATTGAATTAAGGCATCAAAACATAAAATACTTTCTTAATGGTGATGACTTTGTATTTGCTGTCAATAAGGACCAACAAGTATTCAGTTTTGGTCGCAATAAATGGGGACAATTGGGTCGGAATGTGGATAGGAATGGCTGTCATAAACCAGACATCATTTTATATTTCGTTTTAAATGATTTAATTATTACTGAAATATGTTGTGGTTATAGCCACACAATTGTATTGACATCTAATGGACAGGTATTCGGATCGTGTGATAATATTAGTGGACAAATTGATAATTTCACACAAAAATTAGATGTTATATTAAGTCCATTTAAAATACAATTTCCGATTGAATACAAAATTACAAAAATTAAGTGTTATAAATCGACATCATTTGCCATTACATCTGATGGTCAGGTGCTTATGTGGGGAAATACACGTGATTTTAATAATATGAATACAATTCAATTAGAAAATACATATAATATTCAAGATATTTGTATAAATAATACATTTATGTATTTATTATCAAATGATGGATCCATATATTCATACGATTATCGAAACAAACAAATGACAAAAATGAATGAAAACATTAAGTTCACTGAAATCATGCAATTATATTCATATAAGAAATACAAATCAATAATAACTGGTTTATCATATAATATAATATATGAATTTAAATATCCAAATACTATTGAAACAAAATATACATCGTTTGATGATTACTATTCACATGAATTACATTTGACTGTAAATACAATTATGTTTAATAATATACAATATAATGAAAAAATATTTAATGAAAATAGAAATAATCAAGGTGTGTATTATGACTGTTTAAATGTTTATAGTTTTTTAGTACTAATGTTATATTTTAATAGAAATTAATTTAGATAATATTTATCAATCAAATTCGTTGTCTTTTACAAAATCATTTGAAGTGATAAATAAGCTTGGTGAGGGTGCTTATGGACAGGTATACAAAGTTAAACATAAAGACCATCATGACGAATATGCGGTAAAGATATGTAAATTAAAAGGTAAAGTTTTACATTATAAGTTTATTAACTGTAATTAGATATTTTTAAAAACATTTTTAAATAATATAAAGGATTATCAGAAAAAGAGAAACAAAATGTTTTGAATGAAACCCAAAGTCTTGTGAAACTTCGGTCAGAATATGTGATTCAATACTACTATTCATGGATTGAATGCAATTGTCTTTACTTTCAAATGGAGTTATGTTTAGATAATCTCAAAAATCTGTTGGAAACCAAAAAACCAAATAATGAAATGATGACTGGTTTTGATTATTATATATCGTGTGAAATATTTCGTGAACTCACAGAATGTGTGCAATATTTGCACGAAAAGCATATCATTCACAGAGACCTCAAACCGGATAATGTGTTGATTTCAATGGACGGACGCATAAAGTTATGTGACTTTGGTTTGGCTAAAGAGGTCGTGAATATTGATTCGTATAATATGTCTAAAGCTAAACATACAGCAGATGTNATTATTATATATCGTATGAAATATTTCGTGAACTCACAGAATGTGTGCAATATTTGCACGAAAAGCATATCATTCACAGAGACCTCAAACCGGATAATGTGTTGATTTCAATGGACGGACGCATAAAGTTATGTGACTTTGGTTTGGCTAAAGAGGTCGTGAATATTGATTCGTATAATATGTCTAAAGCTAAACATACGGCAGATATCGGGGATCTATCATATCAAGCACCGGAAGTCCAGACTAAGGATTACAATCATTTGATTGATATCTACAGTCTATCCCTAATCGGGGCTCAATTATTTAATTTCGATCCATACATTATAATTGACGGAAAGTATGTTTATATTACAGAAATATAGTAATAAATTTGTTTTAATAAAATTAATAATTTTAATTGTTATAGAATTGATACAATTGGAAAATATAATAATAATTTGAATGACTTTAGTATTAAAATGAATGCATTATTGGTGTCAATGGCTGTCAACGAGTATCGCAAAAATGGTTCAACAGATTGGAGACAAAGACCCGAATGTTCGCACATTTTATCGCAATTGCAGACAATTATCACAAATAATCTTTTTATTGGGGAAAATGAGTGGAAATTAAGTGAAACTAATATTAATGACAATACTATTTGGAAAATATTTATGAGAAGTAAATCATTTTGTTTTATACGAAGGAATAGTCAAAAAACAAGTTTAGGTTTGTTTTATTTCGAATGAAATTTTAAGGGAATCTATTTAAAAATTATTTGTTATTTAGACACTGGTCAAATAAATGAGGCGATGTTTGTGAGGTGTTATTGTGGTGATAAAACATTTAGACATAAATCTTCAGGAGATGTATTTAAATTATTCAAAATAAATATACCAGGTAAGAAAACATTTATACATGTAATAATAAGGCATGTCGTACTTGTATACAGTATTTATACCATGCATATTTATATATCTATATAATTTATATATATATAGCTACTGTTAAACACATGAATAAATTACTCGTTGGTATAAACAAGGGATTTGACACTAATTCGCATTTATCGGTTGAATATTACAACTTTTGGATTGAAAATAGTAAAGTATTCATTCAAAGGGAATATATAAATAGTACACTAACTCTGCAGAAGTTAATTACTAAAAAAATGAAATCTTCAAAACCCAGACCTCCGTTGACATGATTTGCATTGATTTCTACATATCGTGTGAATTAATGCGAGAACTCTTAGAATGTCTTAATTATTATCGGAAAGTGTGGAAAATATTAGGTAAATGGAATATATACAATAAATATATTCTGATTGATATTAATATAAAGCATGGCAAATGTATCAGGGTAGACACAGGCTGTACTCCAAAAACAACAAAATCTCGGCGTTTTTGCTATTATAGTTATTACCGGAAAAGAATCGATGATATATTTAGTCCTGTTATGAAAAAGTAAGTATAAATTTATTGGACAAATATAATTTATAACATAAATTGTAAAACTAACAAACCGTACAATCGATATATAAAAATGAATTCAATGAAATCATTAAAAGCAGTGCTTAATCATTCAAACTTATAAAACTTTATTAATACATATTTTTATTATATAATTCATGTATTAAATTTATTTAAAAATTATTAAACAATCATTTTAATGTTTCGATTTGAATTCATTTTTATTTGTCGATGGTATAATACATTTATTTATTTTTATATAAATTAATAATTTGTAATCATTTAGGAACAACATTCCGACTGACCAGGGTATACAAACTTATAACATAAAAGAGTATTTAAATGATAAGAACTTTATAAATAAAACTATGCCTTCGGTCGAGGATATGGACAATGAATTCAACGACATTTTCGCGCATAATATCCGTATAACCGATGAAATGATTTCCACATTTCAAACACACATCCAATCCATGGATTCACGAAAATTTGATTTCAATTTCTTCTATAAATACTTATTAATGAAAACAAATTCAACAAACAATACAAATAAACCGGAGATATGTTTAAGTCAAACGGCTCCGACAGTCAACCCAAACATACCTGAAATACCTATCGACGAGAACCCAACCCTTAATACAGCCTCAACTTCATCGTCTACGTCATACACCCATTCATCCGGTGTTGTCGACGTGGACCCTGATATCCAACAACCCTATGAAATACCGGGTCAATCAAAGTGTGATCCGAACCCTACCAACCAATTAGTTCCACAAAAACGTCCGAAAACTCAGAGACAATACGTTAAGAAACCAAAGTCTGAATCAATACATAAAGTCCTTAAATAGGATTACAAACAGATTTTTATAATTTTAGAGTTAATTAAACACATAAAATAAACAGGATAAATTATAAGTTTCACGACCATTTAATTACAATTGTTTTTAAGTATTTGAATTATTTGTAACCATTTTCATATAATATATTTTTTGTTCCAGATTCTTTTAAAGTGTTTAAATTTTCCATAATTAATATATAAAGTAAATCAATTATTGACGATCATTATTTATAATTAGACTTTTTAAATTTTTTCTAAATTTTTAAAAACTCAAAATGTATTTATTATAAATTATATTCTTCCAAATTCTACAAATCTAATTATACAACATTTATAATAATCATATAAGCATAACAAATATGACTTGTAGTAAAATAGTATATTATTGTTTTTGTGTGTAATGATCATAAAATAGTTTTTTCCGAGCATATATCATATTTATATCTTAATTTTCATATTACTAAATTAGTAATACTAATCTAATGTCATTTTATATGAGTTGTAATCTAGTATTTTCAAAACAAGTATCTATAGCCTTATCAAATGTGTTTATATCATAAATAATTTAATATCCATATCTTATTGCAATAACATTAAATGTAAGTTACTGTAGTATGTATTGAATAATGCGCAGTATGTTTTAAATCAACTCATGTTTACTTAATATTTATAAATTAATGAGTAAATTAAGAAATTTACACTTTAATATTATTCAATACAATAATTATAAATAATAAAAATATTTTAATATTTGTAAAAATTTTTGCATCATTTTAATATAATTTTGGTTAATAATAAATATTGATTAAATTTAATTAATTACACTCAAAATTTTAATTAATTTGTTTAATAATGTCATCGGTTTTAGATAATTATAAATGTTGTGATAAAATACCCGAACATTTAAAACAACAAATTAAGTTATTTTATGTTTACGATGACTTTAAGTATAAGGGATATAACACTTTGTTTGTGACATTTGATGATAATGTGTATGCATTGGGATATAATACTTGCGGTGAACTCGGGTTAGGACACAATGAACCCATTGAAACACCGGTAGAAGTGCGGGAACTACACCACAAAAATATACAACAATTTTTCAACGGAAAAAACTTTGTATTGGCTGCCAATACAGATCAACAGGTATTCAGTTTTGGTTGCAATTATTGCGGACAATTGGGACGGGATGTGGATAGGGATGGCTATCATAAAGCGGACATCATTTCATTTTTCGCAACAAATTATCTAATAATTAGCGCAATATTTTGTGGTGAAAATCACACACTAGTGCTAACATCCAGTGGACGTGTATTCGGATGGGGTAGTAATTATTTAGGACAAATTAATTTTGGATATAACACATTAGAAGTGATATCATGTCCAACAGAAATCATATTTCCCAATGAATACAAAATTAGTAGTGTTATGACAGATCGTGCTAGATCATTTGCCATTACAACTGATGGACATGTGTTTACAGGCGGAGATAATGGTGCAAGGTTATTAGATAATGTATTTGGGGTTCGTGGTATATATGGCTATTATTATGATGACATTTTACTGTTTTGTCTTGATGGATTACTTTATTTTTATAATGAGGCAAAATCATCACTGAATACTATAACTTATATTATATTCACAGATATTAAACATTTATATGCAAATAACTATATTAATAGATATATATCGGGTATATCTAATGGCAAAATATATAGTATTGATGGCATGAAGATTATTGAAACAAATTATAAATCGTTTAATGATTACTATTCACATGAATGCCATATGACTTTAAATACAATATCAGTGAATAGTATTGTTAATAATGATGATATAAATACAAAGCCTATTGGTAATTATTTTAGATTATTTGATCAAGTTAACGTATCCTAAATATTTAATTAAATATACCGTTGTTTTATTAAAATAAATTTTTATAGATAATATTGATGACACAAAAACGCACATGGAATTGGAAAAAACATTTAACATTTTATGTAAACTTGGTAAAGGTGGTTATGGGGAAGTGTATAAAGTTGAACATAAATACGATAAAGAAGTATATGCTATAAAGATATGTTATTTACAAGGTAATTTTGAAAAGATATTATTAGTTTAATATAATTATTTTTAGTTTTTCATTTATAATTAATTTCTTAATTTATTTTTAGATTTAAATGAAAAAGATAAACAAAATGTTTTGAATGAAACCCAAAGCCTAATCAAAGTTCGTTCAAAGTTTGTGATTCAATACTACTATTCATGGATTGAATGCAATTGTCTTTACTTTCAAATGGAGTTATGTTTAGATAATCTCAACAATGTATTGAACACAAAGAAAATATTATTTAATGAAAAGATGACTAATTCTGAGTTTTATATATCTTATGAAATATTCCTCGAAATCACAGAATGTGTGCAATATTTGCACGAAAAGCATATCATTCACAGAGACCTCAAACCGGATAATGTCATGTGTCATTTGTAAGACAACTAAAAGTTTGATAGATATTCCAGAAATGGCTTATGTTGACACATATATTACACACAATATTATGATACCTCCTGGTGGTAAATGTTGTCAAGAGCATATTAAT